CCCCCCCCCCCCCCCCCTCCCCCACACACATAAAATGCCGCCTTCGTTCAGAAGTTTTTGGGGTTTGATTTCAGTTTTTGACGACTAAAAGCGCGTTTATTCCTCGTAACCGCCATTTTTTTTCTCACGGGGTCGTTTCCAGACAAAATTGACCTCCATGACTTCTGGGCGCTGCAGCGGTGATGAAGGCGCTGGCGAATTAACGGTGACGTATTTGCGTGAAGCTTAAAATTTAAGTGACATTATCGCTCACCCACACTTATGACGTGTTATTCGTTTTGGTCGTACTCTCTAGGGGAAAAGCAGGAGACGTTCATTTGTGCGAAAATATTGTTTTTATTTTCCACGGGAAACGTTGTATTGCGCCGTCTCTTGCTCACCTCGCCAATGTCATTGGAATCCGCGTTCACCTCCACCACGCCTGACGAGCCCGACAGCGCTAGCCCCCCACGCGTCATCTCCACCGTCTGCTCCTCTTGCGTGCGGTACTGTGAGTCCTTCGGAATCGTCCCCATGTCTGTGCGGTAATCGTCGCCAAGTATATTCGTGAGAGTCAACGGGATGAACCCTCTAACGGGATGCTTCCGTCGCCATACCTCATCCGCATGGTGCCGCCATCGTGGTGTCTTGAACAGCTCCGTCAAGAACGTCGAGCCCAGGGCTATTCCGCCAACGACGAAAAAAAAAAAGCTGCAACCGAGCTGAACAGAGAGATAAGTGCCACAGTCATCACGAACTAGGGGTGTCATAAACAGACAAGAGACGGAAAACATCCAAGCAATCTCCCAGACAAAATAAACTAAAAATGCAATGTTGATTGGCTCCAGCAGAAACACACGGACCGTGCTGGACTCCAACGGTATTCCCTCCTCAATGCGGTACCGCATCCGCCACATGACCGCAATGGCGTAGATCATGTTCACAATGGAGTTTGACACTCCCAAAGCGCACCATATTGCCGTAGAGGCGCTGCATGGCATTGACAGCAAAATATCAAAACCATGAACGAGCTGGGCACCGTTTAAATTGACAACCAGTAAAGTGAACACAGGTGTTGGACGATCGTCAGGCAGTAGCGCGCGCCACACACGTGCACGCGTTTCCCGCAGTCGATACCGAAACGTCCCCTCCGCTGGCTGCATCGCCAACAACAACAACAAAAAAAAAAAGGGATATAAATCAATCAATCAATATGAATATAAATATAAATATGTCTAATGATAGCACTTATAATTGGCGGTTGTCATCAAATAAATTGACTTCGACAAATTTATTTGCGTATGTGTACGTTGTAAAGAAACAAAAGAGTTGAAGGGAAAAGAGAGAGAAAAAAGAATAATTACTCAGCCGTAATGATCACCAGTTGAGTGACGGGATGCCAATTTCTTAGCCGGATGCTCGCATGCGTCCGACCAAACAATGAGTGGTTGAGAAATTAAAAAAAAAAAAAAAAAAAGAAAAGAAAAGAAAGAGAAAAAAACCAACAACAACAACAACAACATTCGCAGTACAAATGGCTTTCAGCCCTATATACAAGAAGCGACGGCATATCCAATAAGCGTCACCAAAAAAATCAAAAGATCAAAAATGAGTTTGGGACAGAAAATGGAAAACAACATCAAATGTGCCTTCTGAATGTACCCGTTGAATGAAGAGAAGGCACTCTGCACCACAGCCAAGTACACCAAAAGGTAGCAGACATGCCACCCGTGTGTTCGTTGGGCCCTGTAGACATGCATAACCGCCATGGGAGCCAGTGCAAAGGCGTTCAGCGTTCGCACGGTGACCAGCACACCCCCAAAAAAGATATGGTCGGAGGAATTACCCACAAACGTTGCATTAAAGTCAATGGTGCTAAAGAGGCTCTGGTTTCCCTGCGCGAAAAAGGCAACCCATGAAAAGAGATGCAACAACACCGCTTGCGAGAATCCAGGAAGGTGCTGTGTTGCCCGCACAACAGACGGCAACACCGCCCCGTAAAGTGCAGTAGCAGCGCCTATAGAGTATTTTTCGCCACAGAGCGAACTTGCCCACAAGACAATGACCATGTACCGTAGCCCTGAACCATTGCGAGAAAATAAAGTTAGCATAAAAGAAATTAGTGGCGCGATGTGGTGCAAAGGAAAATGATTGTGGCATACGACCATGAGTAAACTTTGTGCCACTACCCAAAGGCGATCCAATGTGCACGACGAGGCACATAAAAAAACAAAGGCACCCAAAAAAAGACCCGTAAATTCCCACTCCTTTCCAGCTGCATTTGCTTCCACCCATTGCTCCAGTAGAGAAGGCATCGCAACCGTGTGGGATATCTGCAACCGACTGCGGTAAAGCAGGGGCACCATAACCCGCAAAGATACCTGCAAAGCAAAAAGAAACATTGCAACACTCATGTGAGTTGTAGCAAGAAGTGCTGTCAGAAGAAGCAACTGTAGCAGTGAAAGCACTTCCACATCTTCCCTCAAAATAAAACTGTTGGCAAAGACGGCACACGTACGAAATAGAAATATTATCAATGCCCAAGTGTCAATAAGCCTCTCCCGTCGAATAATCCCTAAAACGTCTTTATTTCGGAACCACGAAAAAGCAGACGCCATGAAAAGAGACGATCCAATAAACATACCGCTCCGCTTCATTTCGTTCCGTGATTTGCGTCCAAAAAGGCTCATCAGTGAAATACGTTTCCGCCAAGTTAAACTCCTATTTTTCCACGCATCCATTACTGGAACTCCCGCCTGATTGAAGAAACTCATTAATTGCCGCCAGTTACACGCCTCAACTGTGTACAAGTCCGCATCCGGATCGGCAAGCGTGATGATCTCCGGGATGACTCGGCCAATACTACTAAACGGGATGGGAACGCCCAAAAGAATACTGATCGTTGGTGCCAGGTCTGTTTGCTGCGCCACGCCCAGCTTTTGAGGAGGTACACCGGCCATATTACGGCAAGACTTCTCCTTTATCGTTCCCTCGCCAATCTCATCGGTCCAGCGGTCCTCAGTTAACTCAGAGCGTCGACGTAGAGATTTCGCGGCTGCTTCCGCCGAGACGTGTAGGGATGATGATGACGCGTTATTCCCATCAAACAGTTCAGCGTACAGGAACGTCTCAATCTCCTGAAAAGAATCTCCGCCGTGATCACCGGCGTTTGTCATGCCATGGTCCCCAAAGAGAAGCAGCAACGTTCTCATGCGCGTTTTGCGTTGATGACGCATGAAGTGCGTCAAATTATGGACCATCGCGTCGATTCGTGCAAGTGCCCGATCCATTTCAGGGTGGTCGGCGTGATGACGATGGCCAACGTGATCAACACCCAAGTAGTGGCCAATGATAAGCTTCGCGTAATCCGACGGCGCCTTCTCCAATGTTTCCGACAGAAGCGTTGGCAGTATATTTTTCGTCACATTGTTGTCATTCGTTTCAAAATCCGAGATGTTGTACGGCGGACTGGCGTGGGTGCGCTTCCACGGCGTCGTGTCGTCGTCGTCGTCGGGAAACATATTCAGCCAAGTGTCGTCGCCAAGGAGAATCGAGCGGCGGCGCAACTGATGCAACAAACTGTCACTTTCTACGGCTTCCGTGTTGAGGTTTGCCTTCAGCTCAA